TATTATTAGTGTATAAAACAAGAAGAAAAACAATTATTGAGAAAATAAAATGTGTTTAATATATGTATTAATAAGAAGATAACAAAGAGTTTTAAGCCATAGTTTAGCGAATAATTGACACTCAATTAACATTGAGATCGAGTTTTTGATTACTAATTACTGGCCTTCGCTCTCCTATTCAACACAGCTTTGCATTCATTTATTAATATATATTTTATATACAAAACAAAATTATAACAATATTTTTCTCTCACAAACAAACAATTATTCACTGCTTTCGTATTATAATCAGTAAAATTGAATTTAATTATTGTTTAAATTAGTTTTTGTTATGTTTTTTGATAATAAAATCAAACTGATTGCCAAAACCGAAAGTGAAAATTGCAATCTTATAATAACTTTGTGGCCATTCCTTGAATATATTAATATTTTATAAAGTGATAGAAACGGTTGTATAGTTTGTTTCAATGCGATTCATTGACATTGCATTTCACGATATGACTATCGGCTCTTAATTGTGTCTCTGGCTATGGGAAGGACTAATCATTTTGAATATGTTATTGAAAACATTCTCTCTCTCTCTCTCTCTCTCTCTTTAGTTGATTAGAGAATTGTATGAATATAAATGACAATCATTTGTTATAAATTAGTAAACTATTTAATGAATAGCAAAATGAATAGATTAGAGTATGGCTGGCATTAGTGGTGTCTCCACTTCGGTCGTCAAGAAGCGATGCGATCATGTTTTAAGAGTTATTTTTTTGTTATACATTTGATTAGTTTAGTTTAGTTGAGATGTATTTTGTTGTTGTTGTTGAATACATAATAACCGATACTCCCATTTAATAAACAAATAGGAAGTCTAATGGATATCACTGTTAAACCTGTTTCATAAGATGTTCTCATCTTATTATTATATGATTTGTAAGTTTTTTGTTGATTAGCGTTTGAAACGATGCCAACCAATTGATAACTAGGTTTCCAGTGGCCAACAACTCATTCATTTACACATTGAGGCGATGCCATCAAATTGCCGGTTACAACCACTGGCGCTGACCTGACCCGACCCTTACCAGTCCTATCATTGATATCTCTGTCATTTGATTTCATAAAATCTAATTTTGATCGTAAATCTGTTGGGTTTCTTGTTTTTATGCAATCTTTTAGTTACGCGTAAAATATATTTTAAAAGCAAAGATTAAAGTTAAATGAAACTTAATTTTATAAAGTGATTGACTATAGAAACCCTACATTACAAACATATTTTCAAACAAATATTTATTCAATAGTGTATTTAATAGTAATATTCTGTTAATATCATATAATTTATAGCTAAATGTTGTTATTATATAAATTAATTCACACTAAAAAAATATGCATACGCTATGAGAACATGTTTTAGCACCAATTGATCTACACTATCTACACTATATTACATTGTCATTCCTGGAAATTAAACTAGACTAGAATTTTCAATTTAATACATGTAATGGTCGAGTGATTTATGAAATTTTTAAACCTGTTTCATAAGATGTTCTCATCTTATTATTATATGATTTGTAAGTTTTTTGTTGATTAGCGTTTGAAACGATGCCAACCAATTGATAACTAGGTTTCCAGTGGCCAACAACTCATTCATTTGCACATTGAGGCGATGCCATCAAATTGCCGGTTACAACCACTGGCGCTGACCTGACCCGACCCTTACCAGTCCTATCATTGATATCTCTGTCATTTGGTTTTACAAAATCTAATTTTGATCGTAAATCTGTTGGATTTCTTGTTTTTATGCAATCTTTTAGTTACGCGTAAAATATATTTTAAAAGCAAAGATTAGAGTGAAATGAAACTTAAGATTAATTAAATTTTATAAAGTGATTGACTATAGAAACCCTACATTACAAAAAGTGTAACATTTTTCAAACAAATATTTATTTAATAGTATATTTAATAGTAATATTCTGTTAATATCATATAATTTATGGCTAAATGTTGTTATTATATAAATCAATTCACACTAAAAAATATGCATACGCTATGAGAACATGTTTTAGCACCAATTGATCTACACTATCTACACTATATTACATTGTCATTCCTGGAAATTAAACTAGACTAGAATTTTCAATTTAATACATGTAATGGTCGAGTGATTTATGAAATTTTTTTTATTGCTATGAGTTTTCAAAACATATAATTTCGATGAATTAATCCACAAATTATTGTTGAGATAATTAAGTCACAGACAATGCAAACAATTTGTTGCATTTATTTCTATTAATAACTTAAACGATAGTTTTGTTTGAAAAATAGGCATTAATTATAGTAATTGTTTTGGTTTTTATAATGAATGAATGAATTATCGCTTAAAATGAACAGTGAATTCATATAATATATGCTTTTTCTGTTCATTAAATTAATTGTTACACCAGTTTTGTAGACACTTTGTAGATATAAATACAGTCAATGCTCGGTAAGCGATGCATAAATAATGATTAGTTTTGTAAAAACGACAAAATACTAGTTTGTTTTATTTGTGTTCAATATTTGAAACTCATTTATACAAGTAATTCAAGATCTGTATCAGTTATACAGTAGTCAACCGATCAATGACATAATGCCTGTGACATTGGTTTGACCCATCAGTACATCAAACTCTCCATTCATCCTCTCTCTCTCTCTCTCTCTCTCTCTCTCTCTCTCTCNTCTCTCTCTCTCTCTCTCTCTCTCTCTCTCTCTCTCTCTCTCTCTGCCTTTTATCACACATTAATGAAATTAATATTTGTCTTTGAATTAAGCCATAAATCAATGACTGAAATCCTTGATTACACTTTCGTTTATATGATTTGTTTGACAATTAAGTGCAAAACATTTCAAAATCGTTTCACTGAGCGATACATTACATATCAAAAGAGTAATATATTTGTGAAGTACTAAATAAAAATATTTTATGAATCGTTAGTTTATGATAATTAGGTACTTATTAACTGTTTTTATTAATTTATATCATTAATTGCAGTTAATTTAGTGCTTTTATGTGGTTTTGTATTTTTAGTTACATTGAAAGTTCAAATAAATTTATATATACTGTCTATACGAAGGAATTAAAATATTTATTTAATTATTTAATAAAACTTATTGTATGTGTACTGAGCCGTGATATAAGGGCTGACATTTTATGGTATTATTTAATCTCACGTATAAATAGACTACAATAGTAATAAAATTCCCATAATTTTCTATATACAGTAGATAATAATATAAAATACTCATTGCTTCACAAATAAGAGGAAAACGTACTAAAAAATTGCTATTTTATTATCACTGAAATTATGTAATCAATTCTCACTGCCATAAGGTATATAAGATACATATTATACTGTATATTAAATGATAATCGGATTAATAATTATGTTCACACTAAATGTATTTAAAAGGTACAGTAGTGTACCGTAGTTTTCCATCCATCAAACCCACAGAGAAAATAAATATTTCTAAAAATGTCAATGTTTTTGCAGAGAAATATTATTTAATACATGACAGCATTGAATAATATAATTGCCATTTTTTGATGTGAATTTAGTTACATTGAAAGTTCAAATAAATTTATATATACTGTCTATACGAAGGAATTAAAATATTTATTTAATTATTTAATAAAACTTATTGTATGTGTACTGAGCCGTGATATAAGGGCTGACATTTTACGGCATTATTTAATCTCACGTATAAATAGACTACAATAGTAATAAAATTCCCATAATTTTCTATATTAATAATAATATAAAATACTCATTGCTTCACAAATAAGAGGAAAACGTACTAAAAATTGCTATTTTATTATCACTGAAATTATGTAATCAATTCTCACTGCCATAAGGTATATAAGATACATATTATACTGTATATTAAATGATAATCGGATTAATAATTATGTTGACACTAAATGTATTTAAAAGGTAAAGCAGTGTACAGTAGTTTTCCATCCATCAAACCCACAGAGAAAATAAATATTTCTAAAAATGTCAATGTTTTTGCAGAGAAATATTATTTAATACATGACAGCATTGAATAATATAATTGCCATTTTTTGATGTGAATGTTATTTTGTCTATAATTCAAATGGAAATTTCAATTACATATACAGTACACATTTATTTGGGATATAATTTTTAAAATGCATTTCAGAGCTGTTTAAACAAAATTTATTTGTTTTGATTTGCAAACAATTTTAATGGCAAACACACACCACAAGAAAAGTGTGAAAACTAAATAAATAATAGTTTTTCGAGGCTATAGTTATACAGATTGAGTTGAATAACAACAAAAGCGAGAGAAATGTTTGTTTTTGTGGACTTTTAAAACTTTTATTTTGTTCAAAAATAATATTTTTGGTGAAATTCAATGATAAAAAAGTTTTCCATTTAAATACATGTTATGTTTATTTTAATGCCAAAAATTCAATAATAGGGAGAACTCTAGATACTAATCAACAGAATCCTATAGTTTAATGTTTTTCTATCCTTCAATCTCTCTCTCTCTCTCTCTCTCTCTCTCTCTCTCTCTCTCACCTGGAAATACATTTAATGTATTTATTTATTTTATGCAAAAATGTTTATTCAATTATTAAGATTACATATGATTTTAAAAAGGTCTTCAATAAACAGAATTAACAACATTTTTGATGCAACACTTGTCTCAAAATGTATTCCCATTAACTGTTAATTGCATTGAAAATTCATGATTTGCTAAAGTTATGAAAGAGAAAATTACTTGAGACATATTTATACAAATAATTAGCGAATAACACACATATTAATGTATTCTTAAGTAAGGTTTCAATTAAAATACATCACTTAACCATCAATTAGTGGTTACGAAATATTATGCAAACAAAACACAAAGCAATCATTTATTAAACCAAACGTTTATTTATTTTATTTAAAATATTGCATCAATTGATTGCACAATCGGTAAAATGTAAACTTTTGTACTTTGTGTCCATCGATAGCCCGGACAACGATTCCGTTGTCTCAAGTAATCTCTGTGCGGATGTGTTTCTGTCCCAAACCGGACACCAAGAAACTGATCTGCGATTGTGTGCTCAACGATGACCTGATCGACGAGTCCTGTGACCAGAAGATGACACTCGTCCGCCTCTACTATGCCATAGGTGTGGGCCGACACGGATGGAAAGTGGAGTACTTGTCCCTACAGGCAGACGCCAATCATAATGATAGCGCTCTCTTTAATTACATACGAAGAATACGTGATATTATCGACGGTTTGTTCTTAAACTAAATTATTTCAACACCATTTTGACAGCGAATTAATTATTGTTTAATTGCATTCATAGGCTATAAACGACCGAAACGTTTGCTGGTGTTTGTGAACCCGTTTGGCGGTCACCGAAAAGCTCGCAAAATCTATGAGAACCGCGTGTTTCCCATTTTTAAATTGGCGTCAATCGAAGTGGACTGCATTGTGACCGAAAGGGCCAATCACGCCAAGGATCTGCTTATGGACCCACAGGTGCGGCTCAACACATACGACGGTGTGATATGCGTTGGCGGCGACGGCATGTTTGCCGAACTCTTGAATGGTATTCTAATCCGAACGCAAAGAGATCACGGCATCAATTGGTCGTCGTTTGAGAGCAGTTTGAAAGCACCCAAAATAACAATGGGTGTGATTCCCGCCGGTTCTACCGATGCGGTCGCGTACGCCACCACTGGTATCAACGATCCCATCACATCCAGTATTGCCATTGTTTTAGGCAAAAGGCTTAACATCGATGTGAGTGCTGTTCATCATCGAGACGAAGACAAACTGATTCGATACTCGACGTCGTTCTTGGGTTACGGCTATTTCGGCGATACAATCGCAGACAGTGAGGCCAACCGCTGGATGGGACCCAAACGCTACGACTGGGCGGGCATTAAGAAGTTTATCCGACACCGACTCTATTCCGGCGAAATCAAGCTCTGCATTGAACCGAGCGATGGCTCCCCGAAGGACAGCAACGTTTGCACCAATAAGTAAAACAAAATTATTATTTTATTTCAAAATAAATGACAGTTTATTAACAATGTTTGGTTTGTGACCAGTTGTGAGCAGTGCGCTAAAGCAGCGTTGAAGGTGAGGGATCAGCTTAACGAAGACGACGCACCCGGTATGGCAATCTCAATCTCACTTCACTTATACTAAAGTCTTGTAACTATTTGTTCATTTATTTGGTGCCCAAACATAGCCTGCATTTCAATAAGAGGCAAATTTCTGGCCATAAACGCGGCGACACTGACGTGCAGGTGTCGGATGACTAAGAATGGAATCTCACCCAAAGCTCATTTGGGTAATGGCTGTACAGATCTTATTTTGGTGTCCCAGTGCTCACGACTCGATTATCTCAAATATCTTCTCCGGACAGCCATGTCATCGAAAAGTCCGGTCAGTCTCTCTCTCTCTCTCTCTCTCTCTCTCTCTCTCTCTCTTTCTCTAATATATATAAATTAGAGGAATAACGAAATGATTTAACCAATAGTTTGATCTAAACTTTGTGGACGTATATCGCGTCCGCGAATTTGAATTCAACCCAATTGTGAGTCCGACCTCTGGAGGCAATCGGAGGCCATTGAGCGCCAGTGTTTGGAACTGTGACGGAGAAGTGGTGGACGAGGCGGCCATTCATGTCAAGGTTCACTGTCAGCTCATCTCACTCTTTGCCACAGGCATTGAAGTGAGAGATAATTAACGAACAAATCAATACCACAACCAATACTACAAAGAGATCGTAAACTCTTTATACGTTGCAATACAAGTTATTTTACACATTATTTGTTATTAATTGTTGTTTATATATAATGTATTTACTATACGACTGGTGCGGACACACAATACATACACAAAGGCCAGCAATTCCGGTGCCGCACCCGATCGGACACATATCGTTAGAGCGCAGACATAATGATATTTTTCTTTCTTTATTATTTTTACTTTGGATTTAATTTCATATTATTTTAAATTTATTTTATACTTCATATTAAAAAGTATTGCTCAACAGTTTTAATAGCGATTTAATAAAACAATGATTACAGTAATAATTCATTTGAATATAAAATATATTTAATAAAAATACAAACAAACAAAAAAGGCTCAGAAGTTTAAAATACAGACATTTGTATAACTTTTTCTTATATATATGTTTATTAATTGTTTTTATATAATAAAAATGTTGTGCAAAATGATTGGCACCGAATAGTAGTTGATTATTAATTCATATGCTTTACACACATTCACAACAGGCGTAATATAATGGCTGGAAATGCAAATCTCGTATACATTTAACGGTATAATTATTATGATATTGTAATGCAATAAGAAATAAGACCAACAAATTGGGTAAAAATATATCTATATATTACACAAAACCTGCGGGCGGTATGTCTGCGAATGTTTGGCTGTAATTTGGCGGAAAAACGGCCAAAAACTTGTATCTCTCGCCCATATCCTTCATAAGCATATCGACGCCGCTCTGGAGCTCCTTTCTCTGGTCATCGCTGGCCTGAGCCAAGAGTTGCTATCATTTGCAACACATGAACGCAATGAATATCATTAAACTAAACAGACATTTGGTTTTGGACTCACAGAAAGTCGTAATTCAATGCCGAGACTCTTGAGGAAGTGCTCCTGAGTGACGGTCCCGAAAACGGTGGCCTTCTCTTTGATGTGACGCTTGAGATAACCGAAGTCCACGTCAGCCGTGAGGTCAGCGGTTCCCGGTTCTCGCAATGGATCCCACATCTCGTGCTCTTTGAAAGCTCTGAATGTGTCTCTATTGGCCTTTTGGTCGTCGTGTCCGTAATCGCAGACCAGAAAACATCCTTTTGTTTTAACCACAAAAATAAGTTAATTCACAATTAATTCCGTTTTCATAAAGCGGTCGCTTTTGAAGTGGGAATATATGTAACAAAACCTGGGTTTTTGCGGCTAAACCGTGCGATGACCTGATCCATGACGAGCGCTGATTGTGGACACACTTCTAAATTGTCTGATTGAACGCTCGGATCTATGAATAGCTTAGAGGCCGGCGTCTGGTTATTGGCGATAATGTATCGCAATTCTCCGCTTTTGTCGCAATCAATCAACACTTCGCGCCACTGACCGGACGGCGATTTCTGGACACAATATGACATTCAAAGACTTAAAATAAAAGTTTCGATACTAAGCGACAATCAATTGACAAATTACCACAAACTTATGGACGGGAAGGGCGTCCAAAAACTCGTGTGCGATATAAGCGGTAAACCCGGGTTTGGAGCCGATCTGATCCAACGATCGATACCAAGTGATGGGAAGTCCAGTCTTCGTGAGTGCGCTGTGACGGAAGAGGCCGTTGGAGCTGTCGTTTTGCTCAATGAGACTAACGGTTCCGCAAATGTTCTGCTCCTGAATCTGTGTCAAGTGGGGAGAGATTTCGATCAAATGCAAAGAAGTCACGTCTTTCGAGTGCGAGAACTGCGACAACACTCGGCCCACGTCTGCGGCGAGAGTGCCTCTGCCCGGACCCAACTCCACCACTCGCAACGGCTTCGGACACCCGTAGCGCTGCCACTCATTCAACAGCCAAACGGCGATCAACTGAAACACAATGCAATGCGTGAGTGAATGGAGTGACACATGGGTTGCAAACCTCGCCGAATATCTGCGATATCTCTGGAGATGTAGTGAAGTGTCCTTTAGAGCCGAAGACATCGGCGTTCATATAGAAGCCAGAGATGGGATGCGTTAATACCATTCGCATGTAATCGGCGACAGTGAGAGGACCCGTTGCGGTGATCTGACGGACCATTTCCCGCCGCAGCGACAGCTCCTTCTGCTTCGCATCGGTCGACACGTTGTCTGTCTTGTGATGAATCCGTCGCAAGAAGTCCACAACCGGTGACCGATTGGCCGCTAAAATGGGTACACATTTGTATCCATTAGTGGTGAGGAGTCTGAAGGCCGAAGACGCGGATCCGATCGCACGCACGGACGCGAAGATGGCGTTCATTGTGGTCGCTGTCGACTTCACCGCCGATGACTTGTCGTTGATTTGTGCCGATTATCACACGATTTGAGACCAATTATGCGGACAATTGTCTCACAAATCAGTGCTTTTTGTTTGTTTTTAAGTCGTCTTTAACTCTAAATAAACACTAAAAACGTTTTGTTTTTTCAGTATTTAATGCAATAAACTGTTCACAAATGAAGTGACCATTTAATCGCATTCAACGCAACCCTATTTTGTAAATATTATTCATATGAACACAAAGAGTATAATTGTAATGAAAACCATTGGTTTAACTCAAATATATTCATAATCTTAGTTATAATAGTTATAAAAATTGTGTCAAATTATGTTAATCTCAATCCATTCAATATTATTTGACTATAATATCAAACCCTAACATCCCTTCAAACAAAATATGATCTGTTGTTTGTGTGAGTGTTTAGATTACATGTGAACCAAAGTTTTCGTAATATATGGACGGAAAATATGTAAATAAAAGTTACGTGACTTTAAACATGTGATAGGAATGCATAGAATGTATGGCAGATGTGAATAGGATTTGCATTGTATTCAACAAATGGTTCATTCATTGATAGATAGGATCATACGATGCATGGCATCAAACAATGTGATACAATTTGCATAGCAGTGCTCCGACACAATAATAACACCTAGATCACTAGATTTGGTTGGGATATACCTAGAATATGCATAGTGTTAGGTATGTGTGGTAAATGTCCTTGATCATTGATAACACATGCATTTGAACCGCATTACACGACTGTATACTACACTGTACTGAATGATAGGATAGGATTTGCAATAAAGACTGAGACAGAGATGTATTGCTTATAATTAGTGGTGAGAAATGAAATATCGATCAATGAATGTGTTTGACATGAATTATGCATTCACTATACATTACAACTCTATGTGACACTAATTGCCACACATTTTCGATATTGTCTTTCATTGAAATATGAAATCCATTTGAATATTGTTTGAAAAATATATATTTTTCTCGAAATTCATTTTATAGACGATATTAACTCTAGTTTGCAATAAACTTTTATAAGTTATAAATTATAACATTATATTTTAATTAAAGGAGGATGTGCAGATCTGTAATGGGGATGAATAAAAACTGTAGTGGGGACATAGGTTAGTTGGTTTTTAGAAATTTTTTACAAATTAAGAACGATTTGTAGTATGATATTAAACTACGTCAAATCGGACAATTGTCTCACAAATCAGTGCTTTTTGTTTGTTTTTAAGTCGTCTTTAACTCTAAATAAACACTAAAAACGTTTTGTTTTTTCAGTATTTAATGCAATAAACTGTTCACAAATGAAGTGACCGTTTAATCGCATTCAACGCAACCCTATTTTGTAAACATTATTCATATGAACACAGAGAATATAATTGTAATGAAAACCATTGGTTTAACTCAAATATATTCATAATTTTAGTTATAATAGTTATAAAACTTGTGTCAAATTATGTTAATCTCAATCCATTCAATATTATTTGACTCTTTAATACCAAACCCTAACATCCCTTCAAACAAAATATGATCTGTTGTTTGTGTGAGTGTTTAGATTACATGTGAACCAAAGTTTTCGTAATATATGGACGGAAAAGATGTAAATAAAAGTTACGTGACTTTAAACATGTGATAGGAATGCATAGAATGTATGGCAGATGTGATTGAATAGGATTTGCATTGTATTCAACAAATGGTTCATTCATTGATAGATAGGATCATACGATACATGGCATCAAACAATGTGACACAGTTTGCATAGCAGTGCTCCGACACAATAATAATACCCTAGATCACTTGATTTGGTTGGGATATACCTAGAATATGCATAGTGTTAGGTATGTGTGGTAAATGTCCTTGATCATTGATAACACATGCATTTGAACCGCATTACACTACTGTAGACTACACTACTGAATACGATAGGATAGGATAAGTAGAATTTGCAATAAAGACTGAGACAGAGATGTATTGCTTATAATTAGTGGTGAGAAATGAAATATCGATCAATGAATGTGTTTGACATGAATTATGCATTTACTATACATTACAACTCTATGTGACACTAATTGCCACATATTTTCTATATTGTCTTTCATTCAAATATGAAATCCATTTGAATATTGTTTGAAAAATATATATTTTTCTCGAAATTCATTTTATATACGATATTAACTCTAGTTTGCGATAAATATTAAACGCAAACTTTTATAACATTATATTTTAATTTAATTTAACATTCTAATTATTAGAATCCAATAGATTAGGCTTATTCCTGATTATATTCCACAATATTTATTTTATAACAATTTCAATTGTTTGTATATTGAATTATACATTTAAATTATAAAAGTGCACAATTGAAGGAGTAATTCATTTAAAGTATTCCTCGGCTGCACAATTCATTGAATTTATTAAAATTTTGTGTGATTATCAAGTTTACTTAACTGATATTTGTTGAAAAATTAATTTGAATAAAAATGTTTAAAAATCAAATTGACATTGTGTTTAGCGTTATATGATTGAATTTAATTGTAATTGTGCATGGGCAATAAGCTAGATTAATATAATTTAATGGATTAATTTTCCAGAATGTTTATTTAGCAAAATAGGATTGAATGAGAAATTAATGGTTAAATTGAGAAATAAATATGAGATGTAAGAATGCAATGACCATGCACGGTTATCTAAATTAGAACATACTGAATTTAGCACAATTAACATTATACCAATTATGAATACTGAAATATTGATTTTGTAATTGAATCAATGTTTATGTGAGAACCGAAAATGTTGATTGAAATGCAATTCTTTGTTGCAATAAATATTAATGGTTTCAAATGGTATCATATATTTGGGTGACAATTGTGTTGACAACTATTTATTGTGCATCGTTTGTAAGAAATAGTGTCTACAATACTCTATATGCAGAGTATATAGAGTTTAGCGATTAGTATTGTAAAGTAGATGCGGACACCAGACTATCCGACTAATGATGGCTTAGTTATAGCCAAAGCCGAGCGTGACATCCAATTCAATGCTTAATACGTGTAAACCATTTCATCCGATAATCACTTACAATACGTGATTATATGAATAACATATACCATAAAGAAATAATGGATAAAAACATTGTCCCCAATGGGGACACAGAGTGACACAGAGAGGACTTGTTTGCAGACAATTAACGCAAACTTTTTCACACAGTTTGAGATACACTGGGAATAAAAAGACTTTTATTTACGATTTGTTTGTCTCATTGGATACACACAACAACACATACCAAACATATCATATAAAGGGACACAAAAATGTGTTAAAGAATTTATGTCCGAAACAATGTTATATGGATTGAGATAAAGTGTTTGCAAAGTATTGGCTATTGTTCTCCAAAACGGCAATTGTTAGGCCATAGAGAAAGCGGTATACCCTTTGAAAGCTATGTCCGCTCACACATTCAATTCATAGTACCCACCAGTGAGTGAGTGAGAGGGAGGGAGAGAGAGAGAGAGAGAGAGAGAGAGAGAGAGAGTTTATAAGTCAGTGTTTGGAGAGAACTGTTAGAGAACTTGAGAGAAAGTTATAAATCTTATCAATACATACACATTGATTGTTATCTCAAATTTTATGAAAGAGAGAGAGAGAGAGAGAGAGAGAGAGTTTGATTGTGTATGGGAACTGGATTTATGTGATGATAGAATTGGTTGTATCTTCGTATAGAGTGTACTGTATATGCATTATATTGTATATAGAGTGCAGACTTGTATTGAATTTAATGTTTTGCAGGCATTTATTGAATGGTATTGTGTTTTCCAAGAATAGCTGATAGAGATGCCAATAAATGGTTGATTTGATTTGTCTCTCACTGACAATACAAGAGTACATGAGATTTCATTTGTTATATAGAAGAGAAGAAGTGGTGTAGAGCTGTACAGAGCTGTACAGAGCTGTACATGAGCTGCACATTAGTGGAGAGGTGCAGATTGTGAGGGGACGGGTGGTCTAACTAATAACACAGCCTCACGCTGATGGGCTCAGGCCTTTTGTCCTGCATATTTCAAGTGGAGTCACGCTGTTTATAACATACCTAAACACGGTTTACACCATCCACCAAAACTCGCATCTCTCTCTCTCTCTCTCTCTCTCTCTCTCTCTCTCTGCAGGCATTTATTGAATGGTATTGTGTTTTCCAAGAATAGCTGATAGAGATGCCAATAAATGGTTGATTTGATTTGTCTCTCACTGACAATACAAGAGTACATGAGATTTCATTTGTTATATAGAAGTGGTGTAGAGCTGTACAGAGCTGTACATGAGCTGCACATTAGTGGAGAGGTGCAGATTGTGAGGGGACGGGTGGTCTAACTAATAACACAGCCTCACGCTGATGGGCTCAGGCCTTTTGTCCTGCATATTTCAAGTGGAGTCACGCTGTTTATAACATACCTAAACACGGTTTACACCATCCACCAAAACTCGCATCTCTCTCTCTCTCTCTCTCTCTCTCTCTCTCTCTCTAGAGAGAGAGAGAGAGAGAGAGAGAGAGAGATTGTTGGGCTCACAATAAAGATTCATATAAATTATTTTATAAATTCTTTTCTTAACTTTATTTAAAATTTTTCCCTATCTTTTTTTGTATCACGACTTTTGAAATGTTAGCCAAAAATGTGAACTTAAAAGAAAATTATTAGTTTTAAAAGCTCTCTCTCTCTCTCTCTCTCTCTCTCTCTCTCTCTTTCAGATCACCAGAAGCACCAAAAAGATGAGGAAAAGTTGTGCCTATTTTTAGTCATAAACACCAAATTTCACTCTTCGATAGAGATTTCCTCTCATTTTCGTATACTTTCATTGCAAACATACCTTCAAATCGATTAGAAAGAAGTGAAAGAAAATAAATATTTGAAGTAAATGAGACTCAAATACATACTGAATATACACAACTAAAAGAGAAAACTTTTTACATTATTATAATGTCTGCCGACTCTCTTCCATCTCTCTCGCCCTCTCTCTCCCTCATCTCTTATACTTATAAACAGCACTTATAAACATTTAAAGCTCTTCTTTAGGAGTTTTTCTCTTATGTTTGACTGAAAAACTAAAA